TCTGGTCAGTTTTTTCAAGCAACACGTTTAAAAAAATAGTGTGCTGAATTTCAATTACTGTTTTAGTCGCATTGCCCCCAACTCAAACCACAACTCGTTGGTAAATAATCGATGAAATAGTTTGTCTGGACACATTCAAGTTCCTCTCACTGTCACTTTAAAGCTGTGAAAATTTGGTGTTAATCCGACGATAATAAGTATACGTTATTTTTTGTTAAAGACCTTGTATTTTGAAAAACATAAACTCCTAGAAAACGTCCATGAAGTAACAGCAAAGATTTTCAAGCTTGTTCATCGGCACAATCAATTTGTCTTCCCATCAAGGTCTGTTTTAACATGTGTAGGGACATCCAAATGTGTAAGGCTATTGGAAACCAAAAAAATAAAGGAATGGGATAGCTATAATTGGATAAATTCGGCATATGAAAACACCAAAATCAATGATTTTTTTCAGTGGCTGTGTGACCTTGTGTCTGACACATTCATATGCAAATGACTAATCTGTGAAACAAATAGGGGCGGAGACAAACCACTCAAATGTTTGGAAACACTAATTGTGTGTCAGATAGCTACTGATAACACATCCTAACATTGCTTTGTCTTGAGTTTATCTTTGAAACTTATAGGCACACAGATTAAACCTGTTTTGTTGATTTTGGAAAACACTACTGAGGCTGCCTTGCTTCCCTTCAGAAAATCTACATTTTAACCAACTTACATGACATTCTATGTTATGTTGACTTTATCACATGAAAGTTTATAGTGCATTTCATCAATTAATAAATAAATGTGAAAATCGTAATTTTCAACACAAATAATAGTCTCGCTACCTTAATGCTTTTAATAAATGATAATGTTGTTTTTATCTCTGACTACTGAAGGACCAAAGTGTGAAACTTTTAAATTCAAGTTAAACTTGGGAAAATACCATATTTTAATACTCTATTAGAAGCTCATCTTCAATAGAAGTGCACATAAACAAAAAATATTAATGACTTATTTGACTTATTTTGACCATGGCACACCTTATCCTTATCATTCAAAAATCAGTATCATTACATTAATTTTAAATCTTCTGTGAAATCTTCTTTGCTACTATGCAAAGTTCATACCTCTAGCTGTAGTTCAGTGCATATTCATTATAAACTTTCCGTGATTTCCACTTTTTAATCCTCATCCAGGAGTCCAGAGATCGAGAATAATATGTTCCTGCATCCATTCAAACTGAAATTATAAAATAACAATGTTAACCATGAAAACCATTGATTTGTGGTAGTGAAAAGAATATTTTTTTTCAAGAATGTGAATTTATAAAATACAAATGAAAATTATTGTTCTTTATAATGTGCACTAATTAATAGAATCATTTTTGGTTGTTTCAATGAATAGTGATGAAAGAGACAGACAGACAGACAGACATAACATTTGTCATTATATGTCTAGCATTTGCATGTTTAGCGAGTATTTGTTCAATGGAGCTTGGGAGAAAGTACGCAAATCTGCCAACAAATAATGCTGTGACAATTAGGGACTACATGTACGTCCTAAGATGGAGTACACTTGTTTTCCCCGAATAGTATATAACGCAAGTTCATAGTTATCACTCATGGCATTCATATTTCAACAACATGGCAGTCATTTGCGCTGAGTGATGCTTTCCAATTCAAGGTAACTGAGGAAATGTGAATATATATATGCATTGTTTTAAAGCCACATGTCTGTAGCATTTAATGTTGTGAGTAAAAAGATGAAAGTTTATATTTACGCAATCATCACTAGTATGATGTGTTGCAATCTTCTGTTGGGATCACCAGAGATGTATTTGGTGAAACAACAGGATACCAGACATAATTTATGAAACATGACTCGTACATCAAGGGATATCAAGTTTTGAAACATATTTTTGTTTGACATTCACTTGATAATAATTTTCTTGAGCATGAATGAAAAGAATACAAATTTGAATTGTTTTTTAAACATTGCAATAGAATACATTTAATAATTATATGTAATAATTATTTTTGTGGAATGAATTGAGTCGCAAATTAAGTTTTATGATAGGCTGTATTCAGTGAACAGCATGAAAACAGCTGTAGCAATGCTACAATATAAATAGATATTTTTCATGGATTATATTTTTCAGTTAAAAACTTTTTGTTACCTTATGTATGGTTTCTATGAGGGCTGCTTTATCAATTTTTATCACATGGCACACAGTGAGAGTTTTAAATGTCACTGCACGGTCTGTATTGGTAAAAAGACCTGAAAAGAAAGAGTTGAGGTTTGGTCAACTTAATGTAATTCACACATATTTCTTTATATATTCTGCGGAATGGCAATATGAACATTCAAGCAATTTATTATAAAGAAGCCAAACTGTGTTTCACAGAGCAGCAGTCATTGCAAGGATGGTGAAATGGCAGACATCCTTGTAAACTCTGTTGATATTAATGTTAGCAAATATAAATTTTTACAAAATTGTATGCCAATCTAATCTAACAAATGTTCATGAAATTGCCATTGATTACAAAAGTGAACCAGGATACACAAAACTATGTTTGTAGCCATGTAATAAATGCTTGTCTCACACTTCATGTCAAAACCCTATACTAAGGGAATGTCATTTGAGCTAGCAAGTACACATGTGTATTTAGTATTCAAATGTCGTCAGTTTTGCAATAATAAAATAATTACACCTGTAGATAAAACACAAATGACCCAATTTGATTCAAACTTGGCAAATACACATACTCGTACACATGTAACAATAATTCATTAAAACTTTGACAGCACTGATATACATTGTGAGTGAATTTAAGTCAGTATTAAGAATATTTACCTTCCTCTCCAACACATATGGGTGACTTCTTTGTGTCTATAGTGGTTATCACCTTTTTACCATCAACAACAGAAACTCTGAGATTTAAATATAGCATTAGAAAATTAATTATAAAACATCTTAAGTGGAGCTGACTGAACAAACCTGATAAGATCAAACATCAGGAAGTCTATGCCATAAGGAAGGTGGTATTGAACTAATTTTTAGTGAAACGTTGACAATTTTCATCAATTTATGAAACAGGTGTATACAGAATTCTTTTGTTTTCCAAAAGTACCATTAACTAAAATGTTAGTTTGCCCAATGTACACAATATTAGCAGCGGCAGTACTGTATTTGCTCCTTTCATGGCATGCACTTTTCACCACCAGACTTTCTCACCCACATTTTTCCACACTTTTGTTATCATATTCTGCAATATTTCTGGAAATGGTCCCAAATTTTGGAGCCAACAGACAAAATTTTAATCAATTTTTAGTTTTTACCCAAATCTTCTGAAGAAAAGTGCAGACTATAAACAGGGCTATTTTGTGAATTTTTTATGAAAATAGGGGTGAAAGGGTTAATCTGAATTACAGAGGTATATTTATGGTCAAAATATGATGTAATATTTTAATGATTCAGTATACAACAAAATTTGGTTGATATGCACTTCTATTGGAGATGTGCTTCTAATAGTGCAAAAAAATGATACGAATATTGTATACAATGCATTTGTGAGCAATGCAAGCTTACTTACTTTCCTCTGACAAGTATGCATATTTCTCTTGATGGATCTTTTTGATGTATTAAACATGAATTGGTTGGATACAACACGATAGGATTGTGCAGCTTTGCTATATTAGATATAATATAACTTAGTGATTCGTCACTCCAACTTTCTAACATTGGAACCTAGCAACAAAACAGATGACAGCATTGAATCATGTTTACAAAATGTTCCTGTCTAAAGGACTTCAGCAAAATCTGACCTGCGCAATTCATAATTTTAATCTGCTTAAAACAAGATGCATTGTACACAAGTATTTTAAATTGTCGGTTTTCCAGATACATCTAACCAATTTCAATGAAAGTGAAAATTCCATAGTAAATGACTCAATGAATGTTCGTAATATGCATTCTGAGTGGATGTTAAATATTGTGAGACTTGAACAGTCTTCCACTGAGAATTGGTCGGAATATAC